CTATCACCGAATGGCTCATCGCTTTCGGGCACACAATAGTCGTGTCGACCACCGCTTTAACAACGAGTTAGTTATAGTTAATTATAGTTAATATTAGTTAATAGTGGTTAATGGCAGCCATTGGTGACACATTGTGTGCACTGTCTGTATAATAAGGTGTTATGTATTGAATGAATAGACAAATCAGTGACAAAGGGAGTCATCACTACCACCAACACTACATACACCACAACCACCGCAACCACAGCACTATCACTACAGCGCACAACACGTCCCATACCATACACCACACCCATCGTCGCTCTATAGCCGTCTGTAGTGTCTAAACGCACCAAATCTCGTGTCCATTGTTAACACGTTTTGTTGGCCAACCAATCAATTGTTTCGCAGTACAGAGCGTGTGATTGGTTGACCACAAATCCAATGTTCGCTGCCTTTCGTACGATTGGTTGCCACGAGTTTTATGACAGTTATTATCATTGAATGCAATCATTAATAGTTATGTTAATTAAAGCCTTAATAATGTAATGATATGTTTGAATGAGTGCTTCAAATGGCAATCAATGGCACAACACATCAAGTAATCCACATTTGAATGCATATTACGAGCGAAAGCACACATTATTGCCACACATATATCAATTAGACATACCATTAGACAGTACTGATTGGGCACAAGTAGTAGCATGCTCATTTTGGTCATGCTAACTACATCTATGCACCATAACTAACTATTAGCCAATTATTAGCACAATGTTTGCAACAATTGACTCTTTTTTGGTCAAAATGTGATGAAATGCATAAAAGTTGAATGAATTGATGCAAAAGTAGACCAAATGTATAGAAAGCATAGCATATGAGTGACTGGGACGTGAAAAGGCGTCCAATACTGTATTTGCTATATAGCATAAGCAGTAACACTAAAATTGGACGCCTTTTCACGTCCCAGTCACTCATATGTTATGTTTAATGAATTGAAGAGTTGATGATTGCATGCATTGATGCGATCAATGAGTGTTTGTTAACTCATTTGGGTTCACATGTCATCCAATGAGAGGTAAGCATTGAAGTGGTGAATACAATCGATCGGCCGATCACTCAATCGGCAAACCATTTGGTGTGAAAGTGTTAGAAATGAGTGAAACTTAGACTTTCAAACAATTCTAGCAATGTATCTACACTTCATTCTACACCTACACTACACTCCCATCATTCACATCATTCACATTCTAATCCTTAACCCTTAGCCCCCTTACAAAGAGAGATTGAGATTGAGTTGACAACATATCAAATAAAGGGCTTTTATGTATTGATTGCATAACCAATTATATAACAGTAAGTTGTATAAAAATCGTAAGCATTTATCATATACTGCACAGAGAATGAAGTATATAAATGATTGGTTGAGATGATATTGTGAAATACAATGGTACAAATATACCTGAATATTATACGGTGTAATAAATATAGTTATACGTCTATAAACCTTATTCTTCATATATGACAGTGAATTATGGTTAAAAATTGTGACATCATCATGGATAAAAATAAAATCCTTATATTCCACAATTATTTGATGTCAACTCAAAATATTGTCAAAAATCATACTTTTAGTCAAACATGAATTCACGTATGAATTTATATATGGATGTAATTGTCGTCGTTTTTGTATTTAAAATCTATATACATTTGCAGTGGTTTTAAGAACTTGAGAATTTAAAAGTATCTATAGATAGGGGGGACAGAAATTGCTTTTGTATCTCATCCACTTCTATGTGTATCCTATTCTGTGTCCTATCTGTAGGAATATTCTTTAAGTTGAGACAAACAACGCTCGACACTGACTTTGTTTGACACAAATCATACAAAACACTTTCACTTCAAATCTTTAAATTATGATTCAAATGTTAGTAAGATGTTAGTAATGACAAATCTATGATATAATTTAAAGTTATGTTACATGAATAAATTTTTAAAAAGTCTATTTTAGTCTATTTTTAGAGATTATTTGTCATATAACTGCACATTTCTTACACATAACTCCTTCTCACCCTAACTGCCTCTGCTATACATACAGAGGCAATGACTGAATGCCAATGACTTACTTGTTAGGGCAGAAGGAGTTAGGAAATGTATAGTAAATAGATTTTTCGGCAATTTTCTCAAAATGTGCAAAAATGGGGAAAATAAAACTCATATTTTAAGCCTATTGTGACCCTTAAACGTTATGATATATAATTCCCGATCGTTTTATGAACTAATGCACTGAATTTGACAAATTAACAAATTTTACACAAGTTGTTTGGTGCAACACAAGTACAGTATTAAGATATGATTAAATAGTTTTTAAATGAATTGAATTATAATTTAAAATTAACCACTTATGCACTTATACTAATGTATGCACTTTCATGCAGTATTTACTTCAATTATTTTAAATTTTACAAATATTAAATAGAATTTATCAATGCTTTTCTAAAATACAATTACACCCAAATGCTATCCTGTCTGATGTTACATAAGTATAAATGATATATGATTTAATGTTAAGTCTATGGGATTAATGTTACTGGCTTATTGCTATAGAAAATGCAACTTTTAACCACAATTAATTTTGAAGAATGTGGTTTGTAGGATCTCGACGTTACCCCCTCCTCCCCCACCCTATGAGATCCTATGTTAAGTCTATGGCTATACTTTAACATATGGGGGTTCTTCACTAGTGATTGAAACAATTATAATTTTGAGTTTTAATTTGGTTTTGGTTTTGATTCTACCAAAATAACCAATGTAAAAATCATTAATTTAGTAAAATTACCGTTTTAAATAATTATTTAACCATGGTATAATAGTATATTTTAAAATTTAAATAACCAATTTGTAAAAATATATTAAAACATCGGGTAATGATCAACCAATAGATTAGCATTATTTACAGATTTAGTACGAGTATTTGGATTACCATTAGTACCCATGAATAACATAGAATAAGCATTGCCATAGATTTAGCATTGCCCATAGACCCAACATTAATCCATAGGATTAAAATTACCTACCGACTTTGTTCATACTATGGACTCCGTAGGATTAGCATTAGTCCCATAAATTTAACATTACCCATAGACTTAGTATTACCCATGTTAATACAACTATTAACAAAATTAAGGTGAAATAAGGTGTCATAAAATTAAGGTGAAATCGCATAGAAACTCATGTTAAACCTATGAGAGCTTCCTCATGTTAAAGTATAGCTATACAACTTACAATTGTTACAATTGAATCTTACAATTGTTAGTGTTGCCAGAAGCTCCGGGTTGCCCGGGAGTCTCCCAGAATCAGGGTCCGACTCCCGTCTCCCATCAGTACAATGTAGTTTTGGTTTTGTACAACGCGTACAATAATATACGGAATACCTGTTCCACTGCTGTCAACACTATTGTGCTAATGGTTTGTCCCCAATATATACAACACTTGACAATTGCGTCGAATAAACCGAATACATATTATACCCAAAGCTTTATTCCATAAACAGTAACATTTAGAACATTATTACGAACTTAATTTGTAGTCTTCATCATGGTCATTTTTAAAATTAAGTCTTCAATAAATTACCATTTAATGGTTGCAATATTTGAAGTAATATTTCAGAATAAATTACAGTATTTTCACAAACTTACAATAATATTAAATAAATTTCAAAGAACCATGTTTTTTTGTTATTATAAAATGGGAGGGGCGGAGTAATCCTATAAACTTCCATTTTCATACTGAATTGTAGTTACAAATAATTAGAGATGAGATTTTTCGGGAATTCCCAAATATAATTAGTTAATAGAATGCTCGGAAATAACATCCAGTTAGTCTTGGGAGTTATAATAGAATAAAAACAACCACTTTCATTTTCCCGATTTTGGCATATTTTGGGGTATTCCCGAATCGCCCTTTTATGACAAATAAACACTAAAACTCACTTTTAAAAAAATCAAAATTTGCCCCCAATTTAAGAATGTTCTCATACATAAAAGGCATTGTAGAAAAATTGCATATTTCATGACATTATCAAATATATTTCATTTTTAAATGTATAAATTATTCCACATTGAATCAACATTAATAGCCGAATTTGACTGTTTTAACCCCGATTGCCGATCCATTTCGCATGTTTTTACTCCATAATAATCTCTACCAATAATTGGCTAACGGGTCAATTGCAGTCCACCCATCATATAACAAGACCAGTGGTTCATTCACTACTATATTCATGTCAAAATGGGATTATGTATTGTATAATTAATTTAAAATAGCCTTAAGGTATTTTCAGTATGCTTGGGTAAATTTAGTGTAGGTTACGTTTGGTTAGTGGTAAATATTGGTCAATATGGTTAGGGTAACGCTTAAAAAGCAATGATACGGGTGTTGTACTGGTCGTTGAAAATATGATTTTATTAAAAATCTATTATTTCAATAATTCAAACAATTCCTAAATTGATTACATAATCAATACATGTATAGTAAAAAATTAATTAATTAATTTTATAATTATGATTAATAACGTGTTATATATTGACTCGATTTGTATAACTAGTATGAAATTAACTGAAGAAGTAGACAGAGTTGAGCACATTTTCCAATACAAAATCTCCTTTTGTTAATCTTTTGCCCAACAGTTCCAAAGTCTTATTGACATCAGCTTTGGATGCATTAGAAGGCATTGAGCCGTAGATACGGATGAAATGATGCGCTAAATCATCTAAAATGGGTTCGTTATGAAGGGATACAAACTGTTCTCTACAGAAACGGTTCATTAGATGAACACAATTAGCGTGAGTCCAGAAACAGTCGTGAACTGACGCATACGTCAGGCCTTCCCGATGGCAACGAAGGGCTGTTAACATCATATGAGACGAGTCCAGAGAATGAATGAAATTTGGGGGAAAAGCGTTCTTTTGCTTCAATGAATTTGGTTTCCTTTTTAATGTCAAAAATACATAATTAATAAAATATACATTTTTTATATTCACTAAAACTCACTGAAAAGCGTCGGAACGACACAAATATTTTAGATTCGTTTCGCTTCCAATGCCCTGAAATTGAAATTATAATTATTTTAATGATTAAATGATTGTTTAGTCAGAGATATTGGATAATACCAGAAATGTTTCTCCAATTTTTGCTTTACTCTTATGATAGGGTTGAATGACAGGAAACTCCAATGGAGTGATCCATTCAACAGGCTTTTCATAGACACGTGATATCTGTCGGGCGCAGTCCGTCAGCCAATCCTGAATACAACGCGTTTCGGTAAACATTTCCTGAATCGACAAAAATGTCTTTTGTGTTAAATATATTGCGGAAGAAAATGCTCGCTCTTTGGGAAACTTGTCGATCTCTTTCAGACGTTTATATATCTGAAGTTTAGCGCCAAATCTGGTCACTCCATATACGTATGTCATAACAGTTTGTTTGACAATTTTGCGACCGACGTATCCGTCAAGAAGTTTGCCGACTTCGTGGCCATCCATAGCGTCTCTCGCTCTCTGTTTCTCGACGAGAGCGGCGACATCGCTGTACACGTCCTGCGGTCTGTCGGCCGGATGTAAATTGACTGATTCGGCGCCGATCTGGTCGCGACCGAGCGCTGCGTAATGTTGCAAACCATTACACGAGCCGTCTTGATGTACAGGAAAATGACTGATATATTGCGTTGGATCTGGACTTCGGATGGCGTTTACAATCTCCACACAACTGGCGAGTGTCTGCCACGGCTCGTCACTTTGCATCCACCACTTGCAACCATCCAATGGATTATCCGCCGAATCTATAATAAGTGGCATTATTTCATTAGCAAACGCCAGCCTCTCAGCCATTGACGATCGCTTCTTAAGTCCCGTCAGATTTATTAAATGTATTTTAAGCCAATCGAGTCCGTCCTCTCCCAAAGGCTGGCCCTTCGCGAACAACATTAGAGAACGCGTCAAATCATTACCCAAATGATTGAAATGCGGCGGAACTGGATATACACGGCCTCTGAAGTCAATATTGTTTGGAAACCAAAATATCTTATTTCGAAACTAAACATTCAATAAATAACAATCAAATGATAAAATAGTGTTAACAGTCTATTTCAATGCAAATGTTTACGTGATTTGCAATCGAGAGTTTGTAAAGACAGTCACACCATAAACTGTACATTTCGGCCATTTCTCGCTTTTGTTGAAACCTTTGACGGAATCTTTGGATTTTATCACTTCTGGACATCGATCTAAAAACATGTATCAGTTTTAGAGTTAATATAAAAGATATATTGTATAAGAGATGACATACTGTTCCACTTTAGGCAGAGGAGGGAATTCTGTAATAGGTTTGGGAATACTTAGATTGAGGTCCCCTTTGTTCCGGAATATATGTGTCGCCACATCTAACACCTAGATATTGATGAAACACATAATTGAGTTCAATTGACATGTTTTACATTGAGTGAAGTGAGACATTACTCTGCTGTTGAGAATCCAGGGACACATCGACAGGTAATTTAACGAATCAAAAACTGGGTATAGTTTCTGATTGTCGTAAGTATTATAAATCCATTTCTGGTAAGTGTCTGGCATTCGGACAAAATCTGTTTTACATAACAAATAGCCGCCAAATCGTGGAGAAACCCATGGCGTCGGCGGACAAAGCATTGGCAGCATATTTATGTCAAACACCAAACTATCTAAACATACTCTGCGGAACAGTTTGGTGATAGTGGGATGCGCTCGGAATTCCTTTTGATATTTAAGATTACCGATGGGTTTGTATGAAATGCCAAATGCGGGCACTTTTCGTTTGACAGCAATTTTGCTGTTCATTATATTTGCATCAATTTTGGTTTCCTGAATGATGAGATCGTAGAGAAAGTGTCCGACGCCTACCTGTATGTGAAACGGCCACACTTTGTAGCGGATATTATTGTTATAATTGTGTTGGTTATCAGTCATCGCTTTTTGCCAGAACTGTCTTGAATTGTATTGTGTGGTCATCGATGGGTTTTTATAGTAATTTATGTATTTGTTATATAATTCTTGAAAGTCTTGAGCGGTTCCGTCTCTAATATGAGTCTTAACCAAATATCTAAGCATAAGTTTTTTGCCTAAATTGGAGTAAAGCGCAGACATAGGAGGGCTATAGTATTCACTCATATTAGCGCAAAGCCTGATCTCTTCAATCATAGCTTCGATGTAATACTTTGTGTCCAAAACAGCTAAATATGGATATAAAGTCATTCCTTTGATTTCGTTTGACTGCATCTGCAAAGTCTTGATTTGTCTGAGAAACGCCTCTTTAAGCAGTTCTCTCCACTCGTCTTCGCTTTTGTTCCACTGATTCTTCAGATATTTCTTTCTCTTGTCGTTAGCGTCACTCAAATCGTCACAAACTATTGATTTGATAATAATATTGCCGTTTATTTCTAACCCAAACTGTTGTTCGACCGCAGACTCCAAACCACTCAAATCTAAGTCTTCGCACGGATTGTAAGGCTTTTGTTCCGATGTTTCGATTGATTTCATTAAATTACAAGAATATTCTTTGCGAAATGTAATAGCATTTGGCCTTAAATGCGGCACTGATTTGTTTAATAGACTTAATATAACATTTCTTTCCTCTTTATTAATAAAACAGTTATCAAACACTTGTTGAGTGTTTAAGTCATTTGTGGCCATTTGTTGGACGGCAGACATGACCTCTTGAACAGTCGGTGGATTCGTTTGTCGTCCCAATGATAGGAAATAATAAGCGAAAGATTCGTTGTTAGGCTTAACATTAGCCGATTTCATCAAACTTAGCAACTCTTTGATTCTCAATGTTTTGCCCCTTTGGGCCCAACCTTTCAATAACACGTTATAAACGGATACATCGATCGCATTGGACTCTTCACATCTGTTCCCAATCGTAAATGCCTTCAATTGTTTGCTTCGGTAATAAAGTAGTACTGAATGCGCTTTCGATACAAAATCCGCGTAAATACACGAATGAATGTAACTCTTGAGAGAACTTCTTAGACTCGAGGCTTTCGATTTCACGTCCATTTCCCTCAACTCTTGTCTCAACTCTTCCTGTTTTCGACTGCTTTTTGTCTGTTTTGTCGATTTATTGGCGCTTTTCTTACCACTACTCGAGTGTCCGCCAAATCCATCAATTAATTCAGTCATTTGTTCCGTTTCTGGAGCCATCACATCCACACAGCTATCGAACCATTCGTTACCACTGTTTGTCTCCTCCACTTCGGTCTCTTCTGTCAGTTCACTGTTGGCCTCACTCTCGATGTAATGAGACATCACATCCATGTCATAGTCATCAGCACTCAGACCAGTGGTCTTCAGTGTCTTCTCCTTTAATAACTTTTTATTAAATTTCTCCAAATCTTTGAGAAGTCGTGGAAATTGTTTGGCTTTTAATTGTGAAGTGGTTTTGGATTTGACCACAAGTTTGGTCTTCACATCCATTTCAGGTGTTTTAGTGGACATCCTTTGCATTGCATTTCTTTTCAAAGCATTCAAACAATTATAACAAAGAAATAATTGCTTTCGACTTAAATATGACTGCATTTTAACTGTTAATTCAGTTTAAGTCTAAATTATATATGATTTACATTTTCAACACTAATCTAACAAAAACTTAAACTGTGTTTACATTTTCAACAATAAAACACATGCTTTGCAGACATGTATAGGGTTGGCACAAATACACCAAATGTTTTAAAATCACCTAATATTACATACAGTCAAATTCAATACTAAATATTGTAAAGCACTCATTTAAACCAAACCAATAACTATCACAAAAATATATTTAAATTAAATTATGCACTTTTTGCTGATCAATTAAAATTGACTAAAAGTGATCACTCTTAGACTAAAATTGTCATATATTGTCAAATGACTCGGCTTTTGGTCTTTAATGAATTAATTGTCAACAGGAGTCTGAGCTCTGCCGGAGATAAGTTAAGACTTTTAACTAGTTTTATTTTAGATTTCATTTCTCTTAATTACATTTTAAGATAAATGTTCTGAAGAATCTAAGGGTTTGTTTCTATCAGCACTTAGGTATTTTACACTTCACTCGAAATAAAGTGTGTTTGAAGTGAAGTTCGTTCCTATCCCTATACTTATACTTACACTTTATTGTATGAAAACCAGTTTGACATGTGGTCAGTGTGTTTGTTTCACTGACCAGTCAATGAAATGCAACACCAGTCCAGTAATTACGTGGTCATAATCAGCACCAATTCATTAATTATGCGACCAAAACCGGTCTCTGAGTGCACACTTGAAATGCTGAGTGTGACTTGAATTCTGAGTGATTTTCGAGTGCACTTAACTGTTCCTATCTATACTCCAATTTGGAGTGTGAAATACTTAAGTGCCAATAGAAACATGGCCTAATCTTATATTATTAACGCTTCTATTTAATCTGAATTGTAAAACATTTCATTTATTATACCAACCCTTGAAATACATTTACAGTATTGCATAATACATACAATACTAACGTAAATGTATTGATCCATTCAAATGACATTCAATTCACATTCACTTCATGTTTAACAATATAAATGAATTTAACATTTATTATGAATACAATTGACAGACAATTAAATGCAAAAATCATAAATCAAATGCAAATCACAATCAGATTAACATTAAATCAGTTTTAAATTTATTTTAAATCTATTTATTTTAACCGAATATTGAATACAATTCGCTAATCATTTCAAACAATTGTTTAATTAATTAAATCTAAAATCTAGAGAAGGAGTGAATCGGCGGTAAAGAAGTGGTGAGAAGAGAGGTGTTAGACATCATAGCCGATGAGATGTCTTCTGCCGATCACTTCCCCGACATAGAACCAACACAACACCTCAATCGTGACCAGAGTGTTAAGCCAGGCCTCCCTCACCGGCAACTGCCGCCACTTCCCGCTGCGGCCGCTCTTCACGAGTTGTGTGAATCCGCTTATGATTTGCGGGATTTCTGTCGGACTCGGAGGAGTCAACTCAACCTTCGCGTACCGAACAAATGTCCTCAGCTTTGGCTTCGATACTATACAAGCGATCAATGGTTATATTATGGTTACATTGAGGCCATCATTGAGGCCGCCATCGCTTCAATCACTTACACTCAACCAGAACTGGGATCTGTTGGGAGATCTTCGCCACGAGTGAGGGTTTAGTCGCCATCTTATATGTCACTGGTTTTCAATTCCTATCACTTTCTGGCCATAAATAACGCTAAACTCGACGATAGGGGAGAAGCGAATGATCCCCTCATATCATACTTCTATACAGTTCTATATGTTATGTAATTTCGCATAAAGTTTCTAAAGTTTTAGTAAATGATAATAATTTTGATATTAATATCAATGGTATAATTGAATACTTTAGGGTATATATAATATATTGCAATAATGCGGGCATTTATAACATATGCAACACTTGAGTCCATTCTGATGAGTAAATCACTACAATCTGATGTCAGATCAGTGATGAAGACAAGCGGTTCTCTTCGTTTAACCGGTAAATAAAGTGATGCTTTTTTGGGTAAATTATGTGATCAACGCTTCCTCTACTCATTAACACAATACCATTGTTAGTATTGTTGTATAAATGAATTCTTTGATAGTTTATGAAAAATAAATTTACTTTTTAATATTTAATAAATTTTAATACAAGGATTTCATATAAAATACACCAAAAAAATATTTTAAAACATTTTGTATTCAATAAAAATGGCATAAAATTTGTATAAAAATGTATAATTTAAATATAAAACTCGTTACAAAAGGCACATAAATTGCAATTTAAGTATTTTAATTATTAAGTTAATTGAGATCTCGATGAATAGTATATTAACTTATATTTATTTTATATATTAATACACTATAGGCTTGGAATGGATTTGAAGAGTGAATACAAAACATTAAATGTCTTTTGATGTGATTTAATGAGCAAATAATGCCTAAGAATTCATTCAAGGATTTACATGTAATTGTATATTAAATATCATTATTTCGATGATTTTATGTACAAATGAGATGATAATAATGTGGTAACTAATGGAATGAATGATGGAATGATGTGATACACGACTAAATCACTTTACAATTAATGTCTTATTTTGATGTTGTATTGACTTATTTTGGCCTAAATTTACTCAATTATCTTATGAAATGCTTTGGCATTTTGAGCAATAAATCCAATCAATAATTTACAAAAAAAACTATTAAAATAACAATTAATTTAAACAATTATTTCTCTAATGACTCTTCCGTTTCGATTCGTCGAATATTCCATCTCTTCTTCATAAGGAATGTGATTCATATTTGACGGATCCATAGTTGGCATTAGATTTGGATCATTCATATTAGAGATCGGATCGTTCATCATTTCCATACCCATTGCTGTGCCGTAAGGATTGGCACCCATTTCCTCATAATAACCAACTTCTGTTCACAAATAATCGACATTTAGTTCAAACTTTTCCTTTCAAAATAATTCATTAAATTCTTACGCATATTATTCTTGCGATTCATATTCATATTGTCGTCATTTAATGGTTGATATCCTTCGTGTGGGTAATAGCCATATGAGCCGAGATAACCGTTGGGATCCATTTGCATCTGAGCCGTACCGTAGGCCGGATGATAGGGAATGCCGTTGTCGTTGGGATTATCACTCATCATATCCGACTTAATCATATTCCAGAGTTCAATCTGTGCCGTATCACTGCTGGCGCCGGGACTCGGGTCGTTGTCCTCACCCGTTAAGTAGTAATTCTGGGGAATGTGTCCATTCAGGGAATCACCGGTTGGAGAATACATAGGCGGAGATAATTTGCTTGTGTCCACGTCTGCCATAAGTCCTGTTCGCAAACATATAAAACATAAGCAAACAATCTAAACAAATATCATATAAAAACACAAACCTTTGTTATCGTGTGAGGCATAAAAGGGTTGGCTTATTGTCGTCACTTTAGGCCTTCCAGACGTTGAATCCGATTCGTAATCCTTTTTATCGGATTTGTCTTTTCGTCGCCAACAACAGCACAGAATAGTTACGACAACAGCCAATGCGCTGACACTGGCTATCATAATAACGGTCAACAAGTGGTCAGTTGTGAGACTTTTGGTTTCGCGGGCGTATATTGAGTCCATTTTGACGAGATGTTCGTATCCACACCACGAGTCGTTGCTTTGCAGACAAAGAATTACTCGAATATCACTTATCTCTTCGGCGGTCGACTTCAAATAGACGTTTTCCTGGTTAGATATTATGGGAACTGTTGTCAATTGTCTCCACTCGCCATTGTTATCACTTCTGATCTCAATCTTTGCCACTAATTTCAGAGAAACGTCATGTGATTCTACGTTAAACACTAACGTATTCTTCTCTCTGTCGTATAGAGAGTCAAAAGCGTTGGGCATATCTTTGAGATTCACTTTTGTAGTCACTCTTAAGTCTTCAGAGTATGGGCTATAGCCTCGGGGGTTAACGGCTAACACTCGGAACTGGTACTCATGCCTAGACTCAAGACCAGTGATTTTGCATGGATTAAGACTACGACACGATTCGTTACGCCAACGCTCGCCATCATTATAAGTGACCACATATTCAGTGTTACCAAAACCACCGTTAAATCCTTCAACCCATCTCAAGATGACTGAATCGGACAACACTTCAACCATTTCCAACTGCATCGGCATTTCTGGCGCCGACTTTTTGGCCAATTTTATTATCGAATATCACTTATCTCTTCGGCGGTCGACTTCAAATAGACGTTTTCCTGGTTAGATATTATGGGAACTGTTGTCAATTGTCTCCACTCGCCATTGTTATCACTTCTGATCTCAATCTTTGCCACTAGTTTCAGAGAAACGTCATGTGATTCTACGTTAAACACTAATGTATTCTTCTCTCTGTCGTATAGAGAGTCAAAAGCGTTGGGCATATCTTTGAGATTCACTTTTGTAGTCACTCTTAAGTCTTCAGAGTAGGGGCTATAGCCTCGGGGGTTAACGGCTAACACTCGGAACTGGTACTCATGCCTAGACTCAAGACCAGTGATTTTGCATGGATTAAGACTACGACACGATTCGTTGCGCCAACGCTCGCCATCATTATAAGTGACCACGTATTCAGTGTTACCAAAACCACCGTTAAATCCTTCAACCCATCTCAAGATGACTGAATCGGACAACACTTCAACCATTTCCAACTGCATCGGCATTTCTGGCGCCGACTTTTTGGCCAATTTTATTATTATTCAGTGTTACCAAAACCACCGTTAAATCCTTCAACCCATCTCAAGATGACTGAATCGGACAACACTTCAACCATTTCCAACTGCATCGGCATTTCTGGCGCCGACTTTTTGGCCAATTTTATTATTGTCTTCTCGTCGTCGTCAGCGACTGAGTTGAACGCCCGACACGTATAGTCTCCGTAATCACTCTCTCGAGTGTTGCGTATGGATAGAGTGCCCACATGTATGTCGTCTCCCAATTCAGTGCTGTTAGTGTTGTAACGATCGCTATAGTTATCCAATGCTTTGCCTCTGAAGAACCACTCAAATTTGGGCGCCGGATATGGTCTGTAGAACGTGACCTCCTGACGATAGAGAGGCTTTAGTTTCCGTTGGGATAACATACCTACAGACTGTTGTCCGCTCACAAGTTATGCTTCCTAACAGCATCTGAACCGCGAGTCAGGCTACAAATTGTCAAACATACAGGTATACCGTCCCCTATCATTGGCTGACAAACTATTGGTGCCTTTTCTGGTCGTGGATTCGAAGAACAAAGTTGTCTGAATGTTGTGGACGTTAGCGTCTTCTAGTGTTTCCTTCTTTTCAATCCTAAACTGTGAGTTATCGGCACTGATCTCGACGTCGTTCTGAAGCCAAATCACATTAGCTTTAGGTTTGGATCGCGAAATACACGTCAATTTGAAGTTACGGTCGCCTTCTTTGGCGATGAATTGCGGTTTCATTGGAATAACCATTTGTGGCGATTCATTGACCGAGAGATAAACCGAACCAATCATTCCTTTGCCGAGAGAGTTGGAGGGCTCACAGAAATAGCGGCCCTCTTGGCTCACATGAACCGCAATGAACGTGTAATTGACGCGTCGGCCCAACTCCTGTTGTTCCTGTCCTTCTCTCCACCACCGATACTCAGGTTCGGGATAACCGGGAGGTTTGGATTCACACGTCAAAGTGAACGGTTTGCCCGCAATTGCCACTGGATTTTGTGGCAAAATTTCCGTTTCTCCGGGTC